GCCAGCATACCCTTAGGGCTATATTCAATCCTTACTATTGGTTTTTATTTATATTTTTGCAATCATAGGCCGATTACCAACCAAAATTTCCAACAATAGCCTAGGTATCCATTTCTAATCGGCTAATCGGGGTTTCTCGGTAGCCCTCCCAAAGTTGCTCGATTAGAGATCTTTTCAGGCCAGTAGATGCCCACAATACGGCGAAGACAGCGGTTGACGAAGGCTTGGAGTGGGTGTGAGATGTCTTTGGTGAGGTTTCACACCCATAGAGCAGCACAAGTTTGACGTTGTATCCGAATATTTTAACATTCGTGACTGCTATACAAGCCGAAGTTTCGAAAGGTTGCTCTGGTCTTGGCAATACGTGAAGTAATGTCCTCTTCTGTACCTCCAGTTTCAGACACGACGCTTCCGAGGTCCAGTCCAGTTATAAGAAGTCAACGCTGATGATTGGACTTTAAATCTTTTATCAGTCTAAGTCAAAATCATTAATTGATATAGGTAACACAATGTAAACTTATGAACGTCAAAAAAAGGAAATATATATATACATATGAAATGCTTCTAATTTTACATTTACTGCCAGTTCTCAAATCAAGGGCGTAGAATGGAAGAGAACTGGCAATTAACTCTCCGCCACTCAAACTAAAGTTTAGTTTAGTAGTTTTTGTGTGGTGCAATTAAGTATGAAAAAATAAATATTAAAACTCCTTTGAACCACTTCAAATATATTTTAAAAAAGGAAAAGCAATTCTCTGTTATAAACATATACATAACACTGGCAATATTTCCCAACGAAACGTAGTTGGGGGCTATATCTCATAGGAAGTCATAAATAAATCGGTTTCCTTAAGGGGTGAAGCTGTAAACAAATTTGTGAGCATTGTTCGGGGTTGCCATGAATACAGGGGTGAGCTAAGATTTACCATTCATGGGGTTGCAGTCTTAGAACCGCGCAAATTGTAATTGCCGTAAAAGCATTTCTCCAAAATCTTGGCTAATGTGGGGTTGGCCGTTTCTTATAGTACGAAGATGGGTAGACGTATTATAGTGTAGGATTACGTGATAAGGTCAGAATTATTCTTTGTATAGGTAGCTTACAGACAGAACATAAATGTAAAATAATTGTTTGATAATATTATTTCACTATGTGAATGCTATATTAGCAATGAACGTGAGATTAGAAAAGCGAAATTTTGATACGAAAACCTAATATCGCTACTATTACCGTAGCTAATTACGTAGCTCGTAGCACCCCGTAGCACCTATGATATATTCCTTCAGTTTCTGCAGTTCCTTCATGAAGTTAATTGCGTATATAGATTAGTGGTGGTTGTATCTTTAAGGCAAATCTCTAATAAATAATATTTAGCAACGACAAGCTAACACACGCCTTACAGCTAAAATGGAAATGAGTAGGCCATACTGCAAGATAAAGATAAAAGATGGACCACCGAAGCTGGAGGGAACGTCTAGTTACAAAATTCTAAGTAAAATTATACAATAACATACTAGAAGTATCTGTATTAAATCCTCCCTCCTCAAAGGCCGGCAACGCACTTGCGAGCCTTCTGGCAATGTGAGTGTCCATGGGCGGTGATATCACTTAACATCAGATGAGCCTCCTGCCCGTTTACCTCCAATTACTTTAAAAAAACTATTTATTTTTAATTATATTTTTTTGCAATCATAGGCTGATTACCAACCAAAATTTCCAACAATTTACCCATATTATTATGATATAGTCTAAAAAAAGCAGCACTAATTATTTGACTTTATATGTTTTATCAGAATGCTCGAAGAATTTGGCAATAATTGTACGACAGCCAATTGAAAAGCATCTTACACCTTCTAACCATTAAAAAGAAACGTGGGAAGACCACGTAAGCTATGGCCTGACGAAATAGTTATTGTTTCTGAGGATAAATAGATAGAGGAAGCAAAGAACAGATCCAAATGGAAAGTTCAGGAGGTTTACACAAAAGAAGTCCATACAGAACACGAACGGAAAAAAACAACTAACGTAGACTAGTATACACAGACACCCATCTGATATGGAATTTAAGTGGCTTTACTATTATTATGTTTGGCAATATGACACAAATGATAAAAAATACTATTAAGTATGAATATAAAAATCGATGGTAAACTAAATTTCAATCTGTTATCACATGCTGTTATGAAATCGCAATTAAAACGCGACTCGTAGCGGTTCGTAGCGCTAATTACACAAAGCCTGCGCGAATCGATATGTACGACCATGCCATACTGGCAGAATGTTAGTAGTTTATTAGGAATATTCGTATAAAAAGTCTTAGTTTAGTGGTTTGTAACTCTCAAGTCTCAACCCTGAGGCCGTCCTGAGGTGGCCACTTTTACTTTGGCGTTCAATTTTGTACGGTGATGGAGAACACTGGTATATTTTAGACAAGAATTTAACATGTGTCTGACAGAAGGGTCTTACTTGTCTATAAAAAATAATAATAGGAGGTCAATGTCCGAATAAACGTAGTTTTTTCTAACTTAATAAAGTTCGTGATATGTTTAAATATAGGTACCTCTTATTCATAAAACTAAATCAAAACAAACAACAACACTCTTTTGTCTTTTCCTGTCAAGTTTTGTGGGATGAATAGACATATGAGTAGGTATTTAAGTTAGAATGTTTTGTTAAGAAAATGAAAATCTAAGACACGAAAAAGTTTTAATTATTATTTTAATTAATTTATCCAAAGCAGAAAAAAAAAAATATTTTTATCTTAGGTGGTGAGGATGATTCTAAATTCCAAGTAAAGTTACACTGTAAGTACCAGTGGCGTGTGTATCCAACCTAGAGGCTAGAACCAAAATTGTGCAATAAATGTCTACCGTCCTAATTAATTACTGCTTCGTCCCTGATATTTTCAGGTTTTATTTAAACACGTAGAATGCACCAATATGGCAAAAATGTACAAAGGATTTACAGACAATTAAATGTTAATACCTAATATCAATATCTCTTTATAGCAATAAGACTTTGTAGTAACTATACGCTGTTTGAATATTAAGAACAAAACGTAACTTGAATTACTTTGTTCAAATGATATACATTGTAACAAGACCGGGAGACAATGGATACGCCAATATATCCCAATTTCACCGCCCTCACCTGGCCCTCTCAGTTAATCCACCATTTTATTAGCCTGCCCTCTCTAATACGACGCACGTGCACAATTCCCTACCTTTGTTCTATCAAAATTACAAAACAGAAATCTTCAATACTAAATACAAAAACTACAACCTGTGTTTTAGACTCTATTGTTACTGAGTAGAGTTTAGAATCGATGGATAGCTGATAGGAGATGTCACATTTTACCGCGCAGTCCGCCATGTTATTATTTCGTTTTGGCGGGCCGTGACTGACGTGTAGTGTAACAAAGGCGATGTTGCCATGCGGAATAAACTGTTATACGTTATGAGAGATTATAGGGTAATCTGGGAATATTGAAGACAATAAAATGAGCTTACAAGGTTGAGAGGGGCTTGCACAAAGGTAAACGTTTTGCGATGAATTACTTCCCTTCAAACAAAAGGGAATCGATCAGTTTTTATTGCGAATGGAGGCGTTTTTGTATTAAATCTACCTGCTCTAGAATAAAAACACAATTAAAACTCGTAAATTTTTATTAATTTTATAAATCGAAATTCATTACACCTTTTGCTGTTAATTACAAATTCCTTTTTATTAATAATACTATTTATAATTATTGTACCTAATCGTTATAACGTTTCTATGTCCTAACTAAAATAATTATAACTGTTTAGTCGTGGAAAATATAAATAAAGATACAAACGTTATTTTTAACTTAATAAAGTTAATCTTATTGCTATCCTTTCCATTTTTAGACGGGTTCCAACTACGGTGACCAATTGAGAATTAAAAATGTTCTACTTTATTTACAACGTGAGAAAAATTAAGTACCTATTTTGTGTACACAGTACGAATATTGCTTTAAGTTTTAAAGTTGTTTTACAATTTTCTCATCAGTTTGTATCTAAGAATTTTTGATATTTTAAGTTTGAAGATTAGGAAAAATAATATACTTAAAATAAAATAAAGCTATTTTCAACAGAGTATAAACCTTTATCTACACGATTTATTGCTCATTACAAAATCTAATTTAACTATAACAAAATCAATACTTCAAATTGGTTCGTTGTTCACTTTAATGTAAGGTAAATTTGTGATTAATTAAATGCAATAATTGGACGCGTTTAAAACAAACAAATAAATCGATTAAAAATTATTTATTTTTAGGTAAAAGTTATAAGAAAAGTTGAAAGACAAACATTCGTATTTCGTGTAATATTTCGTTATTTGTTTTTCAACTTTCCTGCAAAAGTAAATACTTGCATTAAAGATTGTGTGATCGAAGTTATGTAGTTCTTAAATATGATTTAAAATATTCATCTATAATGTCTACTTATTTACACGTAACTATCTACACACGCACAAAACACTGATCGTAAATAAATTATACTATTCACACAACAATTACCTACTTTTATATACATTCAAAATCGGTTTCTGATGCAAGCGGTAATAGCTACTTTTGTTAGTTTGATAGACGAACGATCTATAGAAAAGATATGGCAACATAGTCTTGTCATGTCAAATCCTTATTAGTGCTTAACAATAACTATTTACAATACCCTATTCCGGATACGATAGCAATACGTTTTCACTTTTGAAAGTCCACAATGTCACTAATGTTCTATCACTTCACACTGGGCTGCATCCCAACGCTTTACCAGCGACAATGTTCCTACAGGAGACTTTATACACGAAACTTAAACCAAAACGAATTACTCAAACACAGTTCACACTGATTATAGGTTGTTTCCTAAATAGCGGGAGTTACTTGGCAACAAATCAGTCTTAAACAAAACCACAGGTTAACAGTTTAATCAAAGTACATCTCCTCCTTGAACATTGTCTCGTGGTAAAGCTGTGGGAACTTCTACCAGGCCCTGCCTTGCAGTGGAAGGTAGCCCGAGCACTGCTGCTGGTACGCCGTAGGCTGCCGGTAGGAGGATACAAGGGGATTGCTGCAGGCAGCTTGCGAGGATTGGGGGGCGGAGTACCCCGACGTGGGGGTCGCACAGTGACTGTGCGCGGGGGACGATGACTCACCGGACCCGCATGGTTTCCCGTCCTTCACCAGAACGGGAACAGCCACTCGCCGCGGTGATGACGATGACTGTTGAGGAAAAAAAGGTTTTTGGTTTAAGAATAACTTTTTTTCTCATAAGAATTGCATACATAATTCACTTACTGAGAAACAATATTTAAGTTAGGTTTAGCAACGACTAACAAATAATAGTGAATATTTAACATAATTTTGTTTTTATAGGAAATAGGAATATTGGAAAAACTATATAAAACAACAGTTTTATCAAATCGGTTGAATACAATGTAAAATAAACTAAGTCTTTTGTCAGTTACAACTCAATACAGAATCAGAAAGATATCTTTTTATCACAAAATTCGTCCGTAATAATATAAATATAAAATTAATTCACTCAAGCCGAGGAAGGCTTAAAATGAAGGGCTGTCATCATTAAAATTATACAACAAATTGTCGAGGGCCGCCCACCGGTGCTAACAATCAAAAAGTCGATCGCAGTCCCTCGCTCGCACAAATTGAGGCAATCGTCGGAGTCTGGCAACACCGCCACGTGCCAGGGGTGGGAAACGCGCTTTTGATTGCAAATATAATTATTTAGGATCGGTTTTTAGTAATACTGTGGATAAAGCTCTCATTCTATTTGTTAATCAATGAAAAATAAATATAGTTTTTCTGTTATTTTTATTAAAATAAATTTTCTTTATAGAAACATAAAACGATTAAGGACAGATATTATTATATAATGATTCTGTCATCGTTTTCGTTGATTTAATTTTATTATAATATTCTAGTGAATTCTAAAACGTTGCGATTAAAACTGTTCAAAACAAATATTAAGAATGTCCTTTGAATATTTCTTCAAATACAAGTTATTTATTTATATTTTACGGGGATTTGATGGATATTAACACCAGACAATCATTCATGTTTTGTTTGCACAAAATTAATAGTGCAGCATGTATGACATTGTTATACTCTGTATGGTGAAACTCGGCAAAAAATTAATTAGCCACAAATTATATTCTATGCATAATTTATCTGTAATCGCCCCAATGCTGCCAACACAGGTGCGGGCCCCGTATTCCGACGGGAGATCGCAATCAAGAGGGCAACACTGGGGCCGCTGACTGTGCGATTTTATCGTGACTTTAAATATTCATTATTCAATACCTGAACAGAGGGTGCTTTGTGTACAGATTGATATGCGTTAGAATGGAAAATGACCTCATCTAAGACCCGTATCTTGCAAGATTCTTGTTTAACGTGAGATTTCATTCCTTTCAATTATTCATCTCTGGGACGCATTAAAATTCTGTTTAATAGACAAATTATTACTTGTGGAGTAAATGAGACCCTGAATTAAAAAGTATATGTGATCACTTTAACTTATAAGTGTGTCTATGGCATCTACAAGATTTTTTTTATTAATCTATGTCCTTTCTGTCTTAACAGACGGGTCAAGTTTAGGACATTACTTAATATCTAAATAGCCTCTAACCTGATTGTGTTGGTTTTGTTCTGCCATAGCTTTCTCCTTCGCCTGCCGTTTGCACTTATAGCGATGGTTTTGAAACCATATTTTGACCTGAAACAAAGATATAAATATAATATTATACTAAGAACTTTAACAAGAAAATCGAGAGACAAATGGTGTTTGAATATGTATATAATGATGTATTTACGTAGCCTAATCTACTAATATTAAAAAAGGCTAATAAAGATTTTAGAAGTCACCGGCGATGTCAAAAGAAGCTCTTTAATTATTGTGGAAACGCGCTCTCAAGCTCAGCGGTGCCAACACTCAGCCAAACATAAAAGAAAATGGCGCGCGTCGCAAACACATTGCTTCGTGAATACTGTCCGAAAAGGTTTTCATTTAAACAGTTTTATATAGACATTTTAAATAGAAACTATAAATAGAGTGTTAATGAAGAAGTTCTGCGACTAATTTTTATGTTATGTTAGTTCTTTATTAAAAACGAGGCACATTTTAAGCACCTCAGCTTCGTTAAAAAATATTATTAGAAATATTTTTAAACGGGAGACTTTGGCGTTAAATTCTGTCCCATTTTAGAAGATAGGTTTCGTTTAAGCGATTCTATGGTATTCCTTTACTAACCTAAAGGTCGAAAGATCATAATGCGATAGGAGAAATTGTTTCTAGATGTGATTTAAAATGTAAGAGACGCGTTAACTCCATCTCCATTTGGCGAATGTCAACACGAGTGAGCCTCTGGCCGCGTCTGACCTCTGAAATTAGCGCTAGTGCAGCGGAGTGCATGCTACAGCACTGTCAACACTCCATCTTAATGACGAAAGAATAAACACCCCGTGTTTGTCCCAAGCGGGCAGCCTTTGTCTACGCGCACTCGAAACGCAGCAAAATATACTTTATTTATTATTTATACAATCCTGTGTTTGCCCTTCGAAATGGATGTGTGTACGCTTTCGTTCCGTTACAAATCCGCCATTTTGTCTGATACAACCGTTATCACAATAAATAGGTGTGTTATTTTATATCATCTGTTTACATTGGCTATGGGAAATGGTTGCCTGCGATGACATGCGCTTTTTGTCTACGGCGTTCTCTAGATATCTTTGGCTAGGCGAGAGTTAATGAACGGGTCCCGGCGGCGCGTCGCTTATTGCACTCCGGCGAGGCTCGGACGCTCTCTCGTCGAGTAGTTTCTTTTCAATCTTCTTGTGCATAATGCTCCGTGTTTCTTTCGACGCACTCTTCACCCGAGCACCCATTCAATTATTTGTTTTAGTTCTAAACGACTGTTGTTTAGTTTATCTACTGAGATCTGTATCGACATCCACTTAACTATTAGCCGTATGTTTTATATGGTTTCACTTAGAAACTACCGAAACTACTCATAGTTTCTGAAGTGGACTCGAACACGACTGCTATTTTTAATTCTTTTTTAGTGTAACATAACTGTTTTGTTGTCTCTATTAATTATTTGATGTATTTATTTTTTATATATTCATTTATTTATTTATAAGTCCTAAAACTACCGTGCATGTTATACTTATGTATGTACATACACATACACATTAATTATAATAAAACATAAACATTTCAAACTAACAAGGAAATTATCTTCCCTGCTCAATAGGAGAGTTTGATCTAATTTGACAGTAACTTAACGGGTAAAAAATATATCTAAGGGATTGTTATTTACATTAAACCTATTCATTATTTTACAAAATGCCCTCTCCAAGATAATTTCATTAATAATCTATAGGTTTGCTTTCACGGACATATAAATGAAATTTTCTAATTCAAAACAAAAACTAAAACTTCAAGATGGCGGCCACCCAACCAGCTACATATAACTTGACAGGATATGTCAAATTTGGCGCCGTTATTGAAACACCACGAATGATTAGTAAACATTGTTCGTATTTCTTCTCACACTAATACGTGATTTATATCATATACGGAAAGTTTAAAGTGTCTTGTATTTGAGTGAAACGCGTAGGTGTTCCGTTCCTGCGAATGATGACTTGCAATAATGAAGCCACAATTATTTTAATAAAGATGCTCTCATATTTGTTTAGCTCTTCATTTGTTGCAGGGATTTTGAGTTTGTTTTTTGTAACGTGGCTCTGTTGACAGATGACGTCAAACAATTACGTTATAATTAAGGAAAAACAACCAGATTTACGTATCTTAAAGGAATTAGCTGCGAATAAGTAGAAAAGACATTTAAAAAAAATGTAGATTGTAAATCTTGGTTTAAAAGTACAATAATAATAATAAATCGTTTATTTGTATAGTGTACATTCAGATTGATTAATTATAAACAAAACCGCACAATCAGCCATATAAAAATGAGATGTCATATTAATTATCATATTTTCGTAATAATCTGATATTTTAATTAGGTAGGTACTTTTATTATCAAAACTTATGGTCTAAATACTCTTCTTTTAACCTGGCACCTTGGCTTTAAAATCTAATATACTTATAAATTCTCGTGTCGCGGTGTTTGTAGTTAAACTCCTCCGAAACGACTTGACCGATTCTCATGAAATTTTTTGTGCATATTGGGTATGTCTGAGAATCGGACAACACCTATTTTTCATCCCCCTAAATCTTAAGGGAATTAATTTTAATTAGATAAAAAATATTATGTGAATTAAAAATAAACAACCCTAATTTTCACCCCTTTAATCAACCTATTTTTTTTTGTATTGCAAACGAGTTTGTAGCCTATTATAAATTTCTTATTTATTCATTCTTTTTTTTTTATGGATATTCAGTAAGTCTGAGAATCAGACAACATTTATTTTTAATCCCCCTAAATGTTAATGTATGTGGTCCCACCCCAAAATTTTTGTTTTTACTTTTTAGACAAATCTTTTTGTATTAATTTTTTTATGTTGTATCATAAAATACATACGACCCCTAATTTTCACTCCACTACGATCAACCTCTATTTTTTATTATAGTAGATAGATATTTTTATTGAACTAAAAAATGTTTCCTAGAAATAATATACCTGGCAAAATGACGTTTTCCGGGTCAGCTAGTTTATATATATTATTTTTATCACCTTCCTAACTTTCACTTAAGCAGGATTGAATTTCATACCATATTAAGACACTTATGCAGAATATTAATTATATAGGAATTCTTCAATAATCATGAAATGATTATCTATTAACAAACATAGATGATTTAGCGAATCTATAATATTCTGACAGTTGATTTGTGAGTTGTCAGTTCACAGTGACGTTATTAAAAGATGCATTGTGTTTGGCGCTAAATAAACAGACTGTCAAACGATCAAAACCTTCATTGGAACTTTATCTAAATAAATATTTGCTTTACGATTTAAAGCCATAATGAATTGTGGTAGGACCTAGGAGATATGATGTGACAATATATATTAAATTTTGTTTTTGCAGTTGTATAAATTGTGGTACAGATTATGGTCAGAAATCACAATGTGACGGCATTATGCTCTCTGGTCGCTTATTGCTCTTTCGGAAGGCATTATGTCAATTGTAGTAAGTATAATAATCAATAGTACAACCAGCTCTGACAGCTGAAAAAGCCCGGGCACAATATTATTTAATTATGTATATACTTAGGTATCTGGCAGACCTCCAGGAAAAAGAAACGTGGGAATACCACAAAAGCGATGGGCTGACGACATAGTTTAGGTGTTTGGGGATAGAGGAAGCTAAGAACAGACCGAAATGGAAAGTTCAGGAGGAAGCCAAAATGGACCATACTGCAGAACGCGAATGGAAATACCATCGTAGACTAAGAATATAATAACAAAACTAACACTCAATTGAAATGTAATTTTTAACAGTATGGAATTAAAGTAGCTTTATTATTATAATTAGGTATCATAATATATTCCTAAGTAGGTATATAGCACTATAAGTATAGTAGGCCGAGTTCACAAAGTATCCAAAAACCCGCCCACATCCTCCCCTGAGCGTCAACCGTGAACACCCGACATTTACATAGCCATTCACGATATTAATATTTAACTAAACAAACTGATTAAACCGATATAAACACGACGTAATAACCTTTTTATTAAACTAATATTTGTTTTGCTTAAGGGAGATTAATTTCGATGATAAATTTTATTATTCTGTTTTCCCTTTGAGATTGGCGTGTGTTCACAACCCGTAAAATAGACACGTTTTTGAGTTTGTTTCTTCTGTAGCTTAAAATATAATCTTTAATTAAAAACTATTTAACTAAAAAGTTATTTTGTAAACATTTTCTGTTTTATAACGTTAAAACACAGATTCACGGAATACAAGCAAGTATTGTTAGATAATATTTAATTTAAAATGTGTTTCTTTAACTAAATTGGAAAGATTTGTTCGTCATATTTAAATTTCAAAATGTCTGACTGATGCTGATAGTTAATCAATCATACTCCATAGATTTTGTGTAACGTAACCTATACGATTAAATCTCCGGAGACAAAGCAACACTGGATTGAATGAACAAATTCAGCCCTCAGGTTAGAATCTACTCCGTGGCTATCTTTGGCATGTTAATTTACTCATAATTTCATAAGTTACATAATTTTCAAACTGGTATAAAGATTGTTAATATATCCGGGTTAAAATTACCACAGTAAATAAAGTAAAATCTATCTTTGCGCGTTGGTCTAGCGGTTTCTATGTGCGATTCTCATGCCTGCTCGTAGCTTAGAACTCACCAATGGGCTTTTTATGTGCGCATTTAACGCTGGCTTGTACGTGAAGGAAAACATCGTGAGGAAACCGGCACCCCTTGGACCCAAAACAGTCGACAGTGTGTGTCAGAAGGTTGATCATCTACTCGCATATAAGAAATTATTACGGAACAGATGCAGATATCTGAGGGCCAGAACTAAAAGCTAGTAGCACCATATATAACCAATCTTTAAATTATATGGCAATAATACTTATTTTAAAACACGGGAAAGCTTTCAAGCCCCTTTAGAATGTTTGTTTTATTTTTTAAATGAATCAAATGAATCCCATATACACATATATATATGTATATGGGATTCATTTGATTATATAATATGAATATACATATAAATGTATAATGTA